AGATACAGGAAGAGCGAACTTAAGGTAAGTGAGCAAGTGAGTCTCCGCGAAAACGAGGTACTAGAAGCAATAATCCTTCAATCTGATGTCCGGAGCCTCTATGTAGCGGAATCAAGTCTGAAGGGTCAGAGGTATTCTGTATATTCATCGTACATTTGAACTTCAATGCACAAGGACGTCCCAGTGATCGAATGGAAGTGAGTCAGACATGAAGGGAGGGAGGGAGGGAAGATCGTTTGTTTCAAGTGAGTATGACTGACACGCGTATCAGTCAAACATTCAAATCCTCAAGGAGAAGATTCAAAGTCTACAAGCACAAGTGAAAGACTTGTATCGGGCCCTTATCGTGCATGCTAAGCCTCGATCACGGCAGAAGTCGACCCTCCAAGGAGAGCTGGCAGAAGCAACAAATCGACTTGAGAGGTGACGTGAAAGGAGGAGGGAGATTCGCGAATGACATCGCTGAGCAGGACGACGAAGGAGCTGTGGGAGGTCAAAGGACAGGTGATGTGCCTGAAGAGGGAGGAGAGGGGGTGGTGATGATGAGGAGGAAGGAGATGGGGAGGGGAGGAGGGGAAGGTGGAAGAGAGTTGGAAGAGAAGGTGATAGGATAGAGGACAGACAAAGGCGCTCTTGTCCTCGCTCAAGACAGCAGAGGAGCTAACAGTAGAGGAGGTGAAGAAATCTCGAATATTCGAGGTAAGAGTCTCTCTACTCCTCCCGCACCTCTCTTTTGCATGCTTTCCTTCTCTTCCACCATTACCAATACTCTTGCGCCTCTTTCTTTTCCACCTCTTCCACCTCCACCTTGACCTCCTGTCTTCCTCCTCCTCCTCCCTCCTCCTCCTCCCTCCTCCTCCCACTGAGGCTGATTTTTCGTCCACTAGCTGAAGTACCTGGAGCTAGAGGAGCGATGCCGCTGCATTGCCGCAGAGGAGCATCCGAGTCTGAAGGTCTGACATCTTATCTAGCGTCCTCTCCTCAGAACATCATCATCCAGGGGCTCCAAATGGACGAGGAGAAGATGACGGGGGAGAGGGGAGGGGAAGGGCTGAGGATGCAGCAAGACTCTGACGACACAGTTAAGCTCATGGAGCGTGACGAGCAGCAGGGAGCAATCTCCCCCGTGAGCTCCGATTCGATCTTTGATATCTGATGTACCTTCATGTTTCTTCTTGTACAGCCTCATGCGATCATGGCATGCAACCGAGTCTCCCGCTGGTCTTACCGGGCCCTCAGTGTTTATTAAAGTTTCACTCATGACTTCTGAGTCCGTGGGCCGAAAGGCCCATTGCCGGTGTGACTCTGGCGGCCGGGCTCCACCGCCGGGTCACCGGACCGTCCCTGATCCGATGTGAGGCTCCGGGGGATCAGAAACTGAGGATCAGTGCCCCGGGAGCTTTCCGGGCGGGCCGGATTCAAGTACACGGCCGGCCCCGGCCCGCGTGCCATGAATCATCGGATCCTCCGCTCACCGGGCAGTCAGTCACTGAGTCTGCGGCCCCGGCCCGGGCAACCGCCGAGTTCGGCCCGGGCAATGACCCGGCCCTGCCCGCCTCTTGGCATTATGCAAGGGGGCGGGCCATCCCTACGTTTGCCTATCGAGGCCGCCATGCGAACATCGCTGATCCTGTGCGGGATGGCGGGAGCGGCAGCTCTGAGATGCCCTGTAGGAGGATGGGGAGGAGGAGGGGAGAGGATAGAGACAACCGGGATGAAATGGCGATGCTCTCTGCCTTCAGCTGACACGGGGCGACATGTCAAGTTCCTCCAGGACGTTGCACGCGCCCCGAAGATCCCTGCCAAGTACGCGCATTCTCACTCATCCTCCGCTCCCCCTCCCCTGCTATATCTCATCAAAATCTTCCTTCTCTTCAGATCATTGTCTCATGGTCGCTAGCCTCTTGAATGTCGCCCACGTGCGTTCCCCGTGCTCTTTCGCCTCTTGCACCCACGTTACATGTAACGACCAACACACTCATTGCCATGACGGCCACATCGCCATCATCCTCTTCCTCAGTTGCTCTTGCTCCGCAACCCCATTGATACAACCGCAGGAACCAGCTTGATACTCTTGTGTCCTTCAACCTGTACAAGGGAGATGAGTTGTTGGACCCTGAAGATAGGAAGGGTTTACATCCTCTTCTGATTCCACTGACAAGATGTCCCAAGACAGGAGTTGTGAGTTATGTGCTTCTCAATACGTGTTTTCAAGCTCTATCACATCACATCATATCACATCATATCACACCATACCACATGCGGTCGCCTCTAGCCCAGTCTGAACCTTCTTATGAACAGGTGAAAGGGTTGCTCCGTAACTATGAGACTTCGGACCTTCCATATGTCTCCTTCTATGTCCTCATTAGATCTTCTCCTGACAGTCTGTTCAGGTCCAAGCAAGTGGCGACAACATCCGGCTGCACTCATTAGACGTGGACAAGGCTGTGAAACGATTTGCGATTGAAGAAGATTTCGGTATTATCGCTTGACATCAACGAAGCTGTTTGACTCACTTGTCTTGTTATTTCTCTCCTCCTCTAGCTGGATCTGAAATTTCCAGCTCCCTGCTAGAGCAAGTTGCCATTGCTCGCCCCTCCTTCTTCGAACTTGACAAACTCTCTCAGGCAAGAGCCAACGGACTGCAGGTCGAGGCAGGAGCTGCGAGGAAGACAACTCTGGGGTGAACCTGCTAAATGTCTGCTGCAAGTTGATCGAGCAAGGAGCAGGTTAGAGAGATACCTTCTCGTCAACGTAGGAGCCAGTCCAGACCTCTACGAGGTTTCTTGCCTATTTCCTGCCTTGAGGCTATTGACAAATGCGGTTGAAATCAAGTGGCTGGTGAACGACTGGCTGTCCAAGGACAAGGTCGAGGAGGTGAAGTCAGAGGCTGCCCCCTCCTGCCCTCCCGTCCCTCCCCTCCCTCCCTTGCTTCCTCGCACCCCCTCCCTCGCCCCCTCTCTCTCTCCCTCTCCCCTCCCCCCCTCCCCCTATCCCACTCCCTCTCTCCTTCCCTCTCTCTCCCATTCTCCCTCTCCCTCTCCCTCTCCCTCTCCCTCTCCCTCTCCCTTCCTCAGAGGATTCTCTTGCTTGTTGCTCTCCGATGACACTAAACCTGCAGGCCCTCATCACATGCTCCCGGGCAGCGAAGTTGCTCGGCGATTGGGGATATGTCCACTGGATGCATGCGCAAACGTTGTCCAAGGTGTCTTTTGCCCCTGCCTCCTCCTTATCGCTTCTTCCTCTTTGTTGTTGCGTTCTCTTTTCTCTTTCGTTAGCATCATCATCATCATCACCACCACCACCATCATCATCATCATCACCACCACCACCACCACCACCACCACCACCACTCGTCTACCTCCCCGTCTCTTCTTTCTTTTCGCTCTCCTCACATGCAGTCAGATCGGGCTGAGGGACCTCGAGGCTCGTGACTGTGCCAGGGCAGCTCTTTCCTTGCCCCTGTGGTCAGTCGGGGACGATAT